TCCCAGCGCTGGAGGGAGGAAAGGGGTGCTTTGCTTCACGCTTCCTCCTTTTCTCTATAGAATAACCCTCTGAGGGAGGTGGGAGGGAGGGAGGGAGGGAGAGGCTGGCCTGCTCAAAGTCGGCCTTTGGGGCTGAGTTTGGGTTTGGAAAGGCTTGTTTACCGTGGCTAAAGTCCAGGCCTGACACGACACCGACTCTCATGTTTGTCCTGTGAGCCTGGCTGTCGTGGCCTTTCTGCCCAAAGGATCCTGGGGGTGGTAGTCTGGACAAGGTGCTGAGAACGGCCAGTAGAGATCCTTCACCCCCTCCACCCACAGAGAGGACTCGGGGTGGAAGGCTTAAATCTGCAATATAGACACGGCTTCTCTCTTTGTGTGTATTTTTGCTAAGATACAGGTTTGCACCGGATGTAATAAAATTAACATATCAGTACCAGAAAGGATAATGTAGCAACTCTGGATCTATCTTGCATACAAGCCTTTCCTCTTCCATGTGCTCCTTGCTGTCTTGCTTCTGTGCTGTGGTGTTTTGCGGTATCTCTGTCACAAACAGGCAAGCATTCAACTGGTGCAGTTGTGCTAGCCACTTAGTCAGCAACACACCTGTTGGAGTTCTTTCTTTCTTTATTTTTATTTATTTGATTTTTACCCCGCCCATCTGGTCTACACACGGCCACACTTAGAGACTGCTCTTAGAGACGCATTGACAGCCAGAGGAGGCTGGGGATGACCAGGAAGGCTGATTCTCACCAGGCCGTTTCCAAGAGGCAGGGCCATCCTGAGCAGCCCCCTACCTGGCTGCTCGGGACCCATATAAGGCTCGGCCTCTGGGGAATCCAGCCAGGGGAACTGGAAAAGGCCTCTCTTTTGCCAAAACGCATTTCTCTGGCTTGTTGTTCAGGACTTTGGTGACGTGACGCTTAGCAGAACTTTCCGTCTGGAGGGAGCGTGCGCATCAGGGGTACTGGGGCTCCGGCAGTGTGTGCAGCAGGACTTGTAAGGTTTCGGTCTGAAATCCCCAAGGGCCGCAGAGCAGAGGTGGTGGTTGCCCTCCTTTTTTTCTAGCCCTGCTCCTCTGTTGTTAGCCACGGTCTGACTCCCAGGAGTCTTTTGCTGTCCAAGCAGGGAGGGAGGAAATGATCCTCGATGGAATTTCTGCCTGTCAACCTGCAGGGGAGCAGGGCCCGGAAAAGGCAACGGCCACCCTGAGGGGGTTAAGGCTTTAGACGTGGAGAGGCCCCGGCTTGCCATGCCAAGAGGTGGCTCTTTGCAGCCTCCTCCGGTTCTCTTCTCCCCCCCCTCGTCCCTGTTGAATAAACCCCAACGTAACTTCATATCACCAGCAGATTCCACATCAAGACAAGAGGCGTATTTGCACAGCTGTATGCAAATGGTAGCCACGAGAGCCGAATGTTCGGTCTGTTCTCTTCCTCCTCTGTGGGCAGTACTTCCTAAATAGAGAAACCTCTGCCCCCCTCCTGCCGGCTCTGATGCAAAATGGGACATAATAGGAGGCCGACGGGGAGGGGGCGGGTGGGACGCTGTTTAGTTCGCCGCCAGTGTCACTCCTTTTGTTTAGGGTGTGCACCCATCAGACAGTCGCTCCTGCCGTCCTTGCTTAGCCTCACTCTCTCTCCCCTTGGTGTCCCCCCCTCCCCGTTCCAGCGAGTCCGTGATCTGCACCACTCGAGCGACGGTGATGCTGTACGATGACGCCAATAAGAAATGGGTTCCGGCCGGGACTGGCCCCCAGGTTTTCAGCCGCATCCAGATCTACCACAGCCCTGCCAACCACACTTTCCGGGTGGTGGGCCGCAAGATGCAGCCCGACCAGCAGGTAATTCTGCCCTCCTGGCACCAGGTACCTGAAAAGAGACACCCCTCTTTTTTTTTCTTTTCTTTTTTTTTGGAAACACGGAGGCTGTTTGGTGTCTGTGCCTCTTCCTTCTTCCCTCCCCACTGCCCGACGACAGAGGTGAGAAATTCCCCTGGTAACTTTGTTGTGTTCTGCTGATACATCCCCTTCCGTAAAGTTAATGAATGTTCTGCTTTTAGGTGTTCAAATGCACACACTTCCCCTTATCTTTCAGAGTGGACAGGAACTCAAATGTTTTTTTTGAACTCAACGATCAAAGGGCTGCAGAACCAGCCCCAAAGGGATGCTGCTGGACTCTTAAGGGGTGGCTGGAGACGCTGGGGAAATAATGCCTATGCCCAGGATCAGAAAAATAAAGAGCTTTAGCACCAGGCCGACCAGTTTGGGGCGAGTCCCACAGGCCAGGCCCCACTTTCCCCACTGTTGCTGCCTGCAGTTCCTGGGAGGGCTCCCTGAGAAGGGGTTCTCCCAAGGCTCAGGCCTTTCGCCACGGTGTCCGCTTCTGCACCCATCATCTTCAGCTGACTGCTGTGTCCCTTTCCTCCCCTGCCCCCCACCCAGGTGGTCATCAACAGTCCGATTGTGAAAGGGCTGAAATACAACCAGGCCACCCCCAACTTCCACCAGTGGCGAGACGCCCGCCAGGTCTGGGGCCTGAACTTTGGCTCCAAAGAGGATGCCAGCCAGTTTGCGAGTGGGATGATGCATGCCCTGGAGATGCTGGAGTCAGGTGAGGAGAGCTCCCTGTTGTGTGGGAGTTTCGGGTGGTGGTGGTGGTAATAATATCTGAGCATGACTGGTGTGGAAAGGGGACGTCCTCCCCCCCCACGCCTGCAACTCTTCTCACCACCGGCCCGAGAGGGAGCAGGGCCGTTTTGGGGGGGTTCTGGTTTGAGGCCCCTGCACAGAAAACCTGCTTTGTCTCTTTCATGCGCCAAGGGAACGCAGCACCTCCGCGGCCGATCCAGAACGGCCCCTCGGTAGACGAGATGGTGGAGCAGCAGAAAAGGTACCCGACCCTCTGTGGGCCTCCCTCGCAGGGCTGGCTGCCTTTGGCTTCTTCTGGCCGAGGGCCTGCTTCAGCTTTGTAAGATTTTGCTGGGCTTCCTCAGATGCCCTTTGTAGGAGCTGTGGAAAGTTTATTTTTTATTTTTTCTGAATGGCAGCCAGTGGTCAGGCAGGCTTCTGAGTGAGTGAGTGAGTGAGTGAGTGAGTGAGTGAGTGAGTGAGTGAGTCAGTGAGTGAGTGAGAGAGTGAGAGTGAGAGAGAGAGAGAGTACATGCTGTTGTCCAAAAAAGGTAAATTATCACAGCTGCTCTCTTAACGTGCGGAGGTGATCTCCCTCTGTCCCGCCACGTCACACCAGCTCTGCCTTCTTGCCTTTTTCCTCCCGGGTCCTGGGTGGGAATCACCCCTCCATGGTGGCTCCTGTCCATTCCTAAGAGGAGCCTGGCTGGAGGGAGAAGGTGCCCCCCCCATTCCTCCTCCTCCTCCTCCTTGAGCAGCTGAAGGCAGGCACCGTCAGCTTAGCTGCTAATCGGCTTGGCGGGTCAGGGGTTCAGATGTGTCCCTGCTGGCCTCCGTTCCGGGTTCCTGGGCTTCTGCTGTCCTCCGTGGAGAGACATCCCCGTTTGCTTGGGGGGAAACCCAGCCTTGGCGTCTTGACCCCCTGCCATGTGCGGCTTTGCCGTTTCTGGGATCCTGGGCCCCATTTTGCCGGAGCCCCCGTGCACGTGAGTGGGATAGAAGCACGCTGCGAAAAGGGGAGGGTACGCAGGAAGGGGGGCAGGCCTTGGAGTTGGGGGGCTCCTGTTTTCATCTAGAGATGTAACTGATGCCTCCCCCTTCTTTCTCCCTCTGTCCTGCACTTGCAACTCCTCCCCCCCAAAAAAAAACAGGCTGCAGCAGCAGCAACAGCAGCAGCAGCTCGAAAAGGAGCAGCAGGAGCAAGCCGAGCGAGAACGGCGAGTGACGATCTCAGGTGAGGGAGGGGAGGGGAGGAGGAAATGTGGAAAGGGGGGAGAGGGAGTTGGATGGAGGCATCGGAGTGCTGGTGCAGCCCTCAGCCAAGGTGGGCCAAACCCTGCCCCAGCATTGGCTGGGTTGTCCTGCTCCCAGAACTGAAGGCGTTGGGCAGGATGCGGCCAGCTCACTTGGAGAATTAACAATGGTGGGGAGGGATTACCAAATGAGCTGGGATTAATGCCGATGGAGGGGGCAGGAGCATCTCAGAAGGCAGGGCCAGGCCCCCCTCCGAGTGGCATTGCTGAC